GCGCTGGCCCGCAGAGCAAGGACAGTACGTGGTAGACACGGCGGGAGAAGGGCGCCGAGGCCGGGCCGCACACGGCTGCTCACAGGCCTGCTTCCGGAAGCAGAGCCCTCTGCCGAGGACAGGCGCCCTCCCTCAGGGCCCAGCCCTAGCCCACTCCCAGGCCAGCTGGTCGCATCCCTACCTGGGCCACTGCACTCCCCTCTGGGGACCTCGCTCCCAGGGGCATGTAAGGCTGGAAGGAAGTGGAAGAAGAGTTAGAAGCAGGTTGGCAGTGAGCAGCAGGGAGGGAGGGAGCCGTGGGTGGGGCCTGCGGAGGCCTGGCTACAGGGAGCAGGTGGACCTGCACCAGCTCTGCAGCCACCCGCCCCTCCCTTGAGTTTGGGTCGCCGCCCCGTGCCTGTCCCGGGGAAGTCCAGGTCTGTCCGGGGCTGGCCAGTTATGAGGTCACGAGTGTCATCCCAGGGTGTTCTTGGGTGAGTCACAGCCTTCTGTGGGGCTGACCTCGGGCGGGCGAGGCTGCAGGGAAGGCCTCTGGGCTGCTGCGGCCCTGGACAAATGCCTCCTTCAGCCCTTGCTGCCCCGACCCCACCTCTCCTGCATCCGCCTCCCTTCAGGGCTGGAGCAGGGGCCACGTCTTCCAGAACAATCGCCCCAGTAAGAGCAGCAAAGCGGCTCTGTGTGCTGAGTGCCACGCCAGGCCCGTGGTACACAGGCCCCACTGACTCCTCGACGACCTCTGAGATCAGGACAGTCGTCACTCTCGTGTGCAATTGGGGAAACTGAGGCACACAGCTTAAGTGAAGCCCCTGCACGGAAGCAGAGCTCTGAGCCCAGACCTTGTGTCCCTAACCACTGGACTTCCTGCCCTGCTGTGAATTCGGCAAAACCACCCCCTCCCTTCCACGTGGCCAGACGACAGGACACAGGGCAGCCGAGGCCGAGGGGTCCCAACATGCTCCCCCGTGACGCGGGCAGCTAACACCCCACACGTTCTATGACAAAGGTGCGTCTACACCAGCGGCTCTCAGGCTGAAGCCCACGCTAGAGGCATGAGAGAGCTCACTGGAAACAGGTGGGAGGGCCCTACCTGACACGGTGCAAGACGGGCCCAGGATCAGCGTTTCTGACCAGCCCCAGGGAGTGCTGGCAGTCATGCTGTCGGGAGCCTGCACCCGCCAGCTGCTGCCCAGGACGGGGCGAATGCCCTGTGTGGTACCTGGCACGTGACAGGTGCCTTCCAAGTCACCAGACGGCCTCCCTCCTGCACAGCACACGCGGGTTTGGAGCCACTGGCCAAGCTCGACACCCAGCCCCACGTGGCCTCGGGCAGCTGGCAGCCTCTCCTCACCGTACGATGGGGGAGCCACGGCACCTACTCCTCGGGCGGCCGTGCCAACGAGAGGGCTTCCTCCAGGCCCCGTGTGACCGTCATTATTCCTGGAAACACCCGGGCCAGAGGGACTCCTCCTCCCCCAGTCTGGACACGCGGCATGTCCTGCCTTCACAGAGGTCTAGAGCTGCGGGCTTGCTGGGACTTCTGGAAGATCCTGTCAGTGTCACACAGCCCCCAACCCACCTCGCCTTCCCAATCTTGGACACGGGAGACGAGGTCGCACCGGTTCCGCTCGTGACCCCCCCTGTGAACGAGCTCCTCTCCCAGATGCAAGGTGAGCAGCACACCGTGGGCCGGGAGGCTGGGCTGGGGCCTTCCCAGCCGCTATCCCTGCTGTGCTCAGAGCCAGCTCGAGGAGCGCCCCTCCCCATCCCGAAGAGGACGTGGGAACCCACGAGCAATGGAGCACCCCGCAGCTCCTCCACCAAGCAGCGTCTGCTCCTGTCTCCTGTCTCCCTCTGCCACCTCTCCTGTCATGCAGAGCCAACACCTGGCTTCTGCTGGCTTTCCCACCACGCCTGTGCCCCGCCCGTGGGGACAGCTGGGGGATATTTAAGGACAGATCGGGTGTCTGTTCCCCAGGTCTTCTCTTTCCTGGCTGCAGACTTCGGACCCAGAGGAATGACCGGAGGGGCTCGCGGGCCTTGCTCTCAGTCGGATGACCCAGGCCAGAGAGGCGCAGAGTGGGTGAGGCCGGACTCGGAGTGGGTGAAGTCCACCTCCTGGACCTACGTGACCCGGGACACGTCACCAAGGCCGGCCCGAGACAGGGTTCGGGCTGGGAGCACCAGAGGCTGCAATGCTCTAGCTCCTGGCCCAGCCTAGGAGGTGACCACATCTCTGTCACCGCGCTGGCCGGAGCCTGGGCGTTTACACGGAGAGGAAGGTGACAGGAGAGGTGGCAGAGGAACAGGGCCCGGCTGGGGCTGCTCTGGCTGTGGGTGGAGAGGTAGCACCCAGCTCAGCAAGGTGTAGGCATCTTCTGGGATCGTGCTCAGGGGCAGCCCAGACCCAGCCCCGACGGGGACGAGGTTGGTGGGGGGCGAAGGTGGCTCATCAGTAACCAGGAGCGGGGTCTGGTGCCGGACAGCCTGGGTTTAACGCCTGGGCCCACACACAGCAGAGCTGAGCTGCCCACTAGAGGGCTGGGTGGGCGAGACCCTCCTTCTGAGGGGCAGGGAGGGCCACACACTTGCCCTTTGGCAGTGCCTCCGTGGCCAGGGGGGGAACTTCTCCGTGTGCAGACGGTTCGACTCTGACACCTCGGGCTCCCAGGCTGGGACATCTCTCTGCCCAAGCCTCACGTCCCCCACGCGGAAAGCAGGGACGATCAGTGGCGGGGCCGCGGCGTGGACCGTCTGCGTCGGGAGACGGGGAGTGAGAGGAGTCTCAAAGTCAGTCCGCGTGTACAGGGCATGCCACCTGACAGCTGTTGGCACAGGCTGACCCGTTAACAGTCTGGTCAAGGAACGACTTTCTAAAGTGGGTTTTGCTAACACATGACACCCGGAGGGGCGTCCAGAGGCCACAGTCGCCCAGGCACGGGATGGCGCCCGCAGGGGCTAGGTAGACGGAGCAAGAGCGGCAGGCTTCTCCCCTTCAAGGGAGCCCAGGCCCCTTCCAAGAACCCAGGTGCTCGGGGAGAGGGACTGCCATGACCGTGAAGCCCCGGCCCGGCCCCCGCCAAGCCGCCCTCACCTTCGGGCTCCTCGGCCATCTCCTCCTCGTTGCCGCTCACGCCCGACGCCTCCATCTCCTCGTCTTCCACCACGGGCGGGTAGGCGGCCTCCTCGCTGGCCGCGGCTGGGCCTTTCTTCTTCTTCCGCCGTGCATTCCTCTCCTTCTCCTGGGGCAGGGGGAGTGCGGTCAGGGCCCAGGCCTGGGCTGTCAGCCCGGGGACTCCCATGCTGAGACCCCGCCACAGCTGTGAGGCACGGTGATCCCAGCCACGTGGCCGTGAGGGCAACCTCCCCCCCGCGTGCCCGCACGGTAGCCAAACACAGCAGTGGTTATTTTTACCAGGGGCTTTAGTCTTCCGTTGCGTCCCAGATACAGTCTGGGTGCAGCCTGGCCGCTTGGCCCTGACATCCTTCCCGAAGAGATGAGCGCCTGCCTCTGCCTGACGGCCCCCCTGATTGCTCCAGCCCTCCAACTCTCCCAGCTAGAGCGGCGGGCACATTCCCCAGAAAGACGTGCCAGCTCCATCCGCGGGTGGAAACCACCGGGCGTGCTAACTCCTTGCTGCTCCTGCCCCCGGCCCCCAGGATCTCAGCGTTTCACCCCACCAGTGTCTACCCAGCCCGCCATGTGCCCCACTACACCGGGGCTTCCGCACAGAGGAGGGTGGCAGGCGAGGTCCCCCAAGGCCAGCTCTCGGGGGGCTGTGCAGAGCTAAGGCACAGGAAGGGGCTCAAACAAGATCGGCGTCGTGCACGGGGGTAGGGGCTCCTTGGGACAGACGACCAGGAGAGGCTTCTGCATGGAGGCGACATTTGAGCCGAGATCTGAGTGGCAAGAGGGGACCGGCCGGGCAAACTCTAGACAGTGGCCAGGTGCAGGGAAGCACACCTGCACACTCCCCACAGCGGGGACGAGCCAGGGTGTTCTAGAAACACAGACGCCAGAACCCCCCGCACCACCCCCCACCCCAGCTCCTCCCATGGGGCCAGCCCTCGCACTCCCTCTCTGGTACAGCCGAAGTGCAGTGGACTACCATCACCGCAGCTCACCAGGCACGGGTCTCCACACCCAGCTGGGCCAGGCAGGCTCAGAACATGTCTGCAGAGTGACTTGCTGGCCAACGGTGACTGGGTGCCTCGTGGGGCTTAGACAGTCCCCAGAGAGCCGGTGCGTGTGGGGGCAGTCTGCCGGGGTCTCCAGGTGACCAGGACTCCCACAGGAGGGGACTGGCCCCTGAGGGCGATAGGAGGGGTTGCCAAAAAGAAACAGGACCTACGAGACGGGAGGCGCCAACGGCTCACTGTGACGCCCCTTCAAGTCGGTGTCCGCCGGAAGCTCAGGAAGCACTTGGAAAGGGTCCTTGTAAGCAGTTAGGCTGAGGCTGTACTGAGACGGGTGGGCCCCGAATCCAACACAACCGGTGTCCCTGTAAGAGGGAACTCGGACCCAGAAGCAGATGGCCACGTGACGACAGAGGCGGAGGGGAGCAGCACGCCCCTGTGCCAAGGCAGCATGGTGCCGGCGACCACCAGGGCCGGAGGGCCCTCCCTGAGCCTTCGGAGCACGTGGGCCCTGTGACAGCTGGACCTCGGTCCCGGCCTCCAGCGCTGTCTCGGGCGACTCCTGCAGTGCCCGGATCCCAGGAAAGATGTCCCGCTCAAGCTGTGGCCCTACCCGTGCCAGGGACATAGGCCTGTCCCCACTACGGCCAGGCAGGCCCTCGTCATGACACTCGGGGGTGGAGGGTCTTAGCTGCACACGTGCCACCTGGTGAGCTCGCGTCCTCCCGAGCCTGCAGGGTCCTTTGCACAGGCTTGGGAGGGGCAGGGATACCTGCCCACTGGTCACGGTTTCCGTCACCGGCATTGGCCACGGGGCCAGCACTACCCTGCTCCCAACCTGAGTGCCTCTGGGGAGGGCCAGCTCAGACCCTCGGAGGCGCGAGAAAATTGTGGCATGTGGGTTCTGTGGTGTGGCCAGGGTTCCCCTCTTCCCCAATCTATTTTTAGCAGACAGGGACACGGGCTCAGTGCTGAGCAGGCAAGCGGGCAGGCGTGATCACCCTGGGGTGGGGACACGGGTCACTTGGTGCCTCCTTGTGGGAAACGGGGTCTCCCGGAGATAAGTGTGCTGCAGGAAACCCGCCAGGTGGAGACTGCCCAGTGCCCCAGGCCCCGCGATGCCGGCAACTAACAGAGACGCTTCCTAGACACCCCAGCCACGTGCCCAGCGTCTTCCTTCACCAGCTCTGTGTGGCACGTGCACGTCGGGGCACCTCACTCCTGCCCCAGCCCCCGAGTGAAACCCAAGCCCTCTCCTCACCCCTCAGCCCTGCTGGCTGTGCGCCCCCCCACCCCCAGCTGCTCTCCACCCCTACTGCAGTCAGTCAACTACACACCACCGCCCTCCGGCTTAACCCGCCTAGCCACAAACCTGCCCTCTACCCAGACCCTCCCGGGTGGCTGCGCCATCGCTTCCCCAGCTCCTACCTCCTCACAGGTCTTCCCCAACTGCCCCGCCAAAATGAGCTCATCCCTCCTTCCCCAGCATCCATCGCTTCCCCTCTGTGCCCCGCCCGGCCTCGTCAGACCATGAGCAGTAGCTACGCGGCCGCAAACCCGTCTCTTGCCCTCGACCCGGCTTCTCCCGGCTGGACCTGCAGCCTGTCTGTCTGGCCGTGTTCCCTCCACACCTGGAACAGAGCCTGGGGGAGACCAGGGCTCTGTAACTGCTTGGTCAGATGAATGACCCTGGCAGACAAAGACACCAGCCCAGAGAGGCCAAGACACTTGCTCAAGACCACACAGCGCATGAGTGGAGGAGCCCAGGTTCAAACGTTTCCCTGCCTGCAGCCTCAAGCAGGAGAGATGGCTGAGGCCAGGGCGGAGGCCGTGACCGGGGAGCACGGAAGCTCCCAAGGCTGGGATTCACAGACAGAGAAAGGGTAACCTTCGGCCACAGGCCGAGGAGGAAGCCTCAGAGAGGATGAGGATGCCAATCATTACCTAACCGGCCAGGCCCCGCCCACTGATCCTGCTTCCTGCTACATCGCCTGTGGCCACACTCAGGCCAGGCCTGGTGTGAGGCGGGAGGGGACACCCGCTGACCCTCGGCCTCTCCACTCCTTCCTGCACCGGCCAAGGGTGACACGCCTTCCTGTGCTCCAGACAGGGCTGGGCTGGTGGCCAGAGGGGCGGGCGCCACACCCGGGGTT